ATAACTGACATTCACATTGGAATTTATATTTTTCCAAGAGCTTTCACAGCCATTATCTCATTTAGGTGCTCAAATGTAGAGATATTAAAATGTGCAGGGACAGAATAATGTTAAGGACATGCAATCTGAAGGCCAGACTGCAGTGTTTGAACCCTGTGCCCACCACTAACTGTGATCTCAGCTAGAGGGACGTCAGTGCCTCCAGCATCAAAAGGAATGGCAGTCTCTTCTGCACTGGGATGTGTTAAAAGTCAACAAGGTAGGAGTTTCCCAGGACAGTCCCTGAACTTAGTAAGCACTCCGTCCCTGTTGGCAGGTTTTACTGTGACCTCCACCACTATGGTCATTACCCTCTCTGCCTACATGAACCTGAAGGAGGACTAGGGCCCAGGTCTGCAAGCATCTAGTCCTGGTTTATATGTTTTTTATCCCCAACACACACCAGTCACTTCATTAGCATGACCATGACTTAAAAATGCCACATTGGAGGCATGGGGCATTTTCTGTATTATTACGCAGTGTGTCTTTTTATTACACTTTACTGTATTTTGGGACAGAAACTGAGGTAAAGCCAGCAAGAATTAATACTTCAGATAAAGTCTGTTTTTAAACCTGTGCAAACAGATCCAGTGCACATGGTCATGGAAACTAAAATATCTAGTTAATTGGATCAAAAGAAACTGTGTATTATAATTTCTTTGTTTATATGACCTATAAGTGGGTCTGGATTTTTAGGTAAAAATTAGTATTTGGCCTCTACATTCATTGAAGTCAACTTTGTTCCCCTGGTGGTAGACAGCAAGCTCCCCAGCTAGCACCTGAAATCTCCAAGCAGCAGTTTGCTGGGAAAGAACCGTAATCTGAGGTGTGATGAGTTCTTCTATGAACAAGAGGTCCTCCATTCAAGAAATACTTTTTCAGCCCTAACATGTTATTGTGTTTATATTTGTGACTTCAATAAATAGTGCTTGACCTTAGACAACAACTCCTGAACTTGGAGACAGAAGACCAAGATCTAAGTCTCATCTTTAAACTATCACATGTACAACAGCAGCTGATAGCTTAACCTCTCTTTGCCTCTGTTTATACTTGTAGGGTTAATGAAAAAGATAAAAGTATAATTTTGTTTGCAAGTTGTTGTGTGTTCTCTAGTCAGCTACTGTATTTGACAACCTATTGAGGCCAAAATATTTTATTAGAGATCCTTTTCAGTGGGGGGAAATGTCACGGTGGTATTCACCTGTGATCCCAAGTAGTCTGGAAACTAAGGTAGGAGGATCTCAAGTTGGAGGCCAACTTCAGCAAGGTAGCAACAACCTGTCTCAAAATAAAACACTTACCTAGCATCACGAGCACCTGGGTTCAATTTCCAGTACATCAAATAAACAGTTTTTAAAAGGGTACTTTGCCCAGCAGCTCAGGAGGCTGAGGCAGGAGGATCCTGAGTTCAAAGCTATCCTTAGCAATTTAGTGAGACACTAGGCAACTCCAAGAGACCCTGTCTCTAAATAAAATACAAAAGTATTTTTTAAAAATAAAAAAGGACCAAGAATATGGCTTAGTGGTTGAGTACTCTTGGGTTCAAAATCCCTGGTACCAAATAATAATAATAATTAATAAAAAGGTACTTTGTTTCATGTATGTTCTTAAGTTAGTAGGATCAACTGTGTAGTTTCCTTGAGATTTTTCCTCTGCTCAGTTGGAGATAGTGAGTTTTCATCAGACCTAGGACAGAAGAGTATCCTAAGCATTATCACTTTGTCTGTAAATGGCGTAACCTCCTCTCCTTTAAAAGGTCAGTCTTTCTGAACAGGGCCCTGGGCTCAGGTACAAGGACTCTGCAGTGATGGGATAAGTCCAGGATGGTCAGCAAAGTCTCTGCAACCCCTCAGATCAATGTTCTGAAGATGTACGTGCCAGAACATGGCTCCACCTTCTCCCACCTAGAAGGGCTTCATGACTCACTGTAGCTCACAGTTCAGGTTTCTCTGGAAGCAACCAATTGCACTAAGACCACATGTCCTTTCCCCAGCTGGAATCTTAACACCCAGCCTCTCCCTCTTCCCTACTACATCTTCCACATTCGCCATTTCCAGCTCCAACAGCCTGATTTACCTCTAGCTCAAGCAAAGAACTGATGTAAACTCGAAAGTTCTGAAGAAAAAACAAAGTCAGAAACTATAAATGCTTTTAAAATCTTTGGCACATTTGTATTTTCTACCTCAATGCACAGTAATGTCGATAAAACTAATTGAGAGTTAGTTATATGCAAATTTTACTCCCATTATAAAGTAATTAAGAACTGTCCTATTGTTTTAACCTTTTTTCATATTTTCGTACATCTATGCTTTTCAAAACTGGAATGAATAAGTAGAGTTGAATCAGTACCTAGTGAGCAGTGGAAAGAATCTTTCTCAAACTCACCCTCGGCTTGGCTATTGTCCCTGCGGTTCTGTCCTTGCCAGGTGATGTCAGTGTTGTAAAATGATGATCTATTGCTCATTTTCGAAATTACCTTTGTCAGAGCACATCTAGACTTCAGCACTTGAGATGTTTGAGCAAAATAATGAAATAGAGAATCTTGGTTTGTTTTCATTGAGTATTGATCAAACACACAGCTGATTCTACAACAGACGATCAGATTTGATTATTCCATGACATATTTTTTAGAAGCAAATTACTTTAATTGAATTTTTTTTTTTTGAAAAGGGACTTTACATTGTCACCTAAAACTCCTGCCATGCATCATTGGTAGGTTTCTGGAGATAATTGTTTGAACCTATTTAGAATATACAGAATTATTTTGCTTGCTAACTACATATCAAGAAAGTCCATCAGAATAAATTCACAATCTTGTCGAAAGGCAAATAATTAGGCATGCACCTATTTTCCTTTATAGACTCCGTTAAAATACATAAAATTAAAGATCATATTTTACTTCATCTTATCAACTTTTGTGAAGTCTGTGTACTGCTGTGTGTCTGCTGTAACCTTCATTGCCTTTGAGATGCATTATTGTGGGGAAGATGGCGTGGCCAGTACAGAATATTATGTCCTCAGTGGACTGTCCTGAAAGAAATAGCCCATGTAAGTCACAGTGGGAAGCTGCCCATTAGCAGGTGCAATGGTGACCATCAACCTGAAATGGCCTTTGCTCTTCACCATAGCTCACTCTTCTCCATTAGGATATGACCTTCAGCAGGGACCAAGGGTAGCACCCGTGGCCAAAATCCATCACCACCCTGCCAGGGCTGACTTCCTCCTCTTCCCTATGGGTAGTCCTCATGTGCCACGGTCCTCAACAGTGTCCCCTCCCTTGCCTCCCAAAGTCTCTCCCATATCTCAGCAGATACATTGCCAGGACCTTTAGAGAACTCCCCTTGCTGCTGAGCCTGTCAGCTTCCACTGCAGCGAGGGAGACATGTCCCTGGCATCCAGAATGAGATTCTGAATGCATCTCTCTCCAGAGACTTGTGTATCTGACCATTAGGCCTGTAATACCTTCAATATGCATTAAATGGTTTTTGTACAGACTATTGGAAACTTAACCATCTGGTATATACTATTTTCTTGGGACTATATGCTTTAAATTAAAAGAATTATAGCTGCACTTTTTTAATGCCCTTTATGATGAAGTTGGAGATGAATGGAAACATTTCTGTTTTCTTGTTTGACTTTTTTTTCCAGAAACTATATCACTCACAAAATACCAAGTCTTTTTTATATAAGCTAATTGCCTTATTATTAATATCCAGTGCTTTTAAAAAACAAAGGGTCTATATGTTGTTTAGAAGTTCCACCAGAGAATCAAAAGGAAAAGGAAAGACTTAAATGGCAAAGTTCACGTGCATAAAAACAATGTGTTCTCTTATGCAAGACCAGTCTGTCTCATGTCAAATCTAGGCTGTCACTTACCTTAAAAGGGAATAAATGGAAAATGCTCACACTTATTAGAAATGATGCTACTGTCTAAAACAGACAAAGGAGGGGACCAAGGATGGTTTAATGGGTAGAGGACAGGCAATGTTATATTATTACCATTCATCAAAAATGCACCTTTGCACCGTGTTACAAAGAAACATGAGAAAACTCGGATGCCTTATCACACCCCTCTTACCTCGGCTCCCTCTTAAACACACAATGCAAACTAGCAAGTACGTTATGTTTCTGTTCCCCGATGCTCCTTTTAACACCCAAAGTGAGTATTAAATTTGATTTTTGAAAATTTGCCTGAAAAGAAAATGGGTAAACCCTTGCAAGGATCCTATCTAAACAGAGCATAAAAAAATAACACACCATTTCATATGAAATGGTAATTAAATTATGAGGCCAGGACCTGATTCTCATTTATTCATCCCTTGTATTATCAACCATGTTAGCGGCACCAATTTTAACACTGTGTCTTCTCTTTGTTCTCCTACTGAGCGTTGCTGTGATGGCAAAGATAACTAGTCATCAGAGATTGTGTGAGATCAGGGTGAATTCTGCATTGTATGAAGAGCTATTAATATTTTAAACACTATCTACCCTTCTGGCAATGAGGTATTACATCACTATTTATACAATGGAATTTGTCACTGATTGGAAGGTTTCAAGTGTTATAGCATCTTGATCATTATCTGGGAGATGTAATTATATTAATACAATTAACATGTACTGAAAGCTAGACTTTTACATTATTTCATATGTTTCTGATATTGTATGATCCAGAAATAACTACTTGATTAACTAATTTCTCCAATTAGAAGTGTCTCTATGTAGGTCAGGATGAGATCATTTGAAAAATCTACTCCTTTGAGAACTTTTAAACTGCCAAAAAAAAAAAATCTCATTTGTGAGCTGAAGTCGAATTATATGGTCATTTTAGTTCTCAGAATTCAAAGCATAGATGGCTGGAATCATGTGCATGTGATAATTCTAGGCTACTCTCAATAAATAATACATGTCATTTCTGCTTCACTGAGACTGTCACTGACTGCTCTAAATGACTTTCAATGCAGGGCCCAGCCTGCTCTCCCAGAGTGCACTTCAGCTCAATTCCAAACCTGAAGGGTCTTTCCAGTATCCGGCCAGCTACCATAGCAACCAGACTCTGGCCCTGAGTGACACAGCCCCTTCGCAGCTCCCAGCCCGAAGCACTCAAGCCCGAGCTGGGGGCCAGAGCTTCAGCCAGGTAGGTGCCCTTTGCTGTATTGTGTCGGTGGGCTCCTAGGGAACAGGTAGAGATGACGTGTGCAAGGGATGCGGTGACCCAGCTTGCCTTTCAGATATCCCATAATTTAACAGAAGATCCCCTTGGTGCTGTGAATGAAGGAAGGGAGTAGTAAAGTGCACTTGTAAAGTAACACTGGAGATTCAACGTGTCTTCTTTAGGAATATCTGTGAGTTGCTCTTGCATGCTGCATATATTTAGCTGCATGAATATGCAAATGGGCTTTGAGTTGCTGTATCCAT